TTTTCTTTTCTTTCTTTTTTTTTTTTTTTTACCCAGAAGCACAGTGTGTCTGTTCATTTCTTCAGCCTAGCAATTTAACATCAGTCTCACCCACTACAGTTAAGTGGTGACATGTCCCAGTCCCTGGGATTCACATTTTCTAAATTTTTTTTTCAACGTTTTTTATTTTATTTTTTGGGACAGAGAAAGACAGAGCATGAACGGGGGAGGGGCAGAGAGAGAGGGAGACACAGAATCGGAAACAGGCTCCAGGCTCTGAGCCATCAGCCCAGAGCCTGACGCGGGGCTCGAACTCACGGACCGTGAGATCGTGACCTGGCTGAAGTCGGACGCTTAACCGACTGCGCCACCCAGGCGCCCCTTTTTTCTAAATTTTTTTTTCAACGTTTTTTATTTTATTTTTTGGGACAGAGAAAGTGGGATTCACATTTTAAAACATGAAGAAATATGTCTCACAGATTTGTAGCTCTGTGGTTATAAAGAAAATCAGAGTATAAGAAAAAGTCCTACCTTTGAAGGTGAAGTAGAGACCTCCATTTTTTTTTTAAATTAACAAGGTTTAACACATTGTTGTGCAGTAGTACAAAGATCATATACTTTGGGGGCAGAGGGAGCTAGTTTAACTGAAGCAGCCGAGACGAAGTCAGGCAACATAACTGTTAATGAAAGTTCTATGCACGTGTTTGCCGGGGACAGGGAGGGATCTCCAGAAAGGCCTCCTTGCCCTTTATGCTAGAGGAGTTTCTTTCCTCTCCCTGGCCTGGGGCAGGTGCACACCAGATGATCAGGCTTGGAAAGAATATCCTTTAATGTATCCCAAGATCCTGAAAACTGAAATTGAATGACCAGTGTCCACAGATATGTTTGGGAGGTGGCATTCAGTGCTTTGTTAGATAATTTCTCAGTGAGCTGTCCTTCTGGGGAAAGGACACAGAGAGTAGTAGGCTCGATGTTTGATGGTGGGTGCAGTTTGGGAAGAGAACCGAGCTCAGGCTGATTGCTTCCAGCGTTTTGTTAAATTTGCTTTGGAGGTGAAGGACAGCAAAGGTCCAAGCCCCTGGTTTTGTCTAAGTGGTATCTCGCTTTACCAGTTACTTCTGGAAGCTTGACCTGACTCCTACAATGTTTTGCCAAGTTATTATTTCTTTCTAAATAGTGGGCCAGAAGGAAGGAAGAGGAGCACATGACCCTTTGGTGAATTCCACTCCCTGCTGGGGTCCACCCCTCGGACCCTTTGTTCCCCCCAGCGCTGCAGCCCAGTGCCTGCTCTTTATTATCCTTTAATGCAGGACCCAGGACTCTGCTCCTCCCTGCAAAGTGTATTCAACTGTCACCATTGTCCCCACAGATCCATTAACTCAGTTGCTCCATGCCAAAAGCAGCCACCCCTCCGTCTCCCTCTCCTACTTCCTCTGCCCTCCCTCTGTCTCCCTCTCCTTGCCCTCCCCATCTCTCCCCACCTCTCCCCGCCCCTGCTATTGGTGAGAGTCTTACTCTCTTGATCTTTCTTCCCCTTCCCCCCCTGCTTTTGGTGACAGAAAAGGCTACCTACAGACACACCGTAAATACATAAAATCAACGACTAACATAACTGAGATGAACACATTCACGCATCCTGGATCTATATCTGTGTACGCACCTATCAACCTCCTTTCTCTCCCATTTATTGCACATGCGCCAAGCCAGCGCTTTGTGTGTTTTCTCCACAACATCCTCAAGGTAAGTACTTCTGACTCTGTTTTACAGAGGAGGGGGCTGAAAGGCAAGTCACCGTCCAAGGCCACTCAGCTACTGAGCGGTGGTCCCTGGATTAGAACACAAGTCCACCTGAACTGAAGACTGTACTCTCCCGCTTTCAAAATCATGGTTGAAATTTTATACCATGAGGGGCAGCTAATAGATGTAATTTCTACCATAGTTACAGAAAGCTGAAATAGATGGAGATTTGTCATTGTAATACTCAAACTTCATTTGGGGCAATAATTTCGCATTCTGTTTAGGTGGAATTTGTTCTAAGCTACCCCAAAATACAACCACTCAAGTGGCATCATTTTGTTTTTCTTCTCTCTCACGGGGGGAGAAGACTCTTAGAGCTGGCAAACAGCTCTAAAGTGGGGTAACCAGAGAGAAAAGTGACTTGGATGTTTGAATGTCCCTGTGAACTAGTCAACACACAACTATTAGTGTCTTCCGTGGGGAATACAGGTAGATCAAGCCAGTCCCTGTCTTAGGAGACCTCCCCCTTCCTGAGGAGTCAAGGGAAAAATGGCAAAATAGAAAACAAGATAAAATCAAGGCGGTTGTGCTAAGTGCAACCCATACATAACGAATGGTCAGCTTCAAGGGAAGGAAAACATCCCTGGGAGATGTGGTAATCAGTGGAGGCTTCTTGGAAGAGATGGGACTTAAGCTGACAGTTTTGAAGGATGAAGTTAGAGAGATGATGTGTGTTCTACACACTCTCACAAACATAGAACCCGAAGGAACAGTGCCTGTGAGGGCAGACCCTCATTTTGCAGACAAGCTAGAAAAGTAGAGTGGTTGCGGTAAGAGAAGAGACCAGGAAGCAGGGATGGGGGGTGGGGATGGGGTTGGTGTTGGGGGCTGGGGGGTGAGTTGAACTGGCCACTTGGGCTGCAGGGAAAAGGAGGTTTGGCTTGTACTTCTGTAAGGATTTGGTGGAAGACGCTGTCAGAAAGTTGGGACCAAGGAACAGATGGCCAGCATGTCATGTGAACTTCATTCTGTGAGTAATGAGGGTCCATGTAGTAGTTCTCAGCTCAGAAATGCTTTGATGGAAGCAGAGTTTTAGGAAGCTCAGTCTGGACCGGTGGATGGAAGAGGGAAATGGAGGCAGGCGGACCAGATAAGAGGCTGTTGTAATGATCCACGTGTGTGATGCAATCATTGTACTGGAGCGGTGGCTGTGGGCCAGATGTGGGAGATGTTTTAAAGGAAGGACTCACAGAATTTGACGACAGATTAGCTACGGGGGTGAGGGGGCTATTAGAGAGAGAGAAAAAAAAAAACCCAACAGGCTAATTCCCCTCCTTCCTAGCATATTGAGATAGAATTGAAAATATTTTAAATAGGAAACACATTTCAGGACAAACTTTTTCCAAAAATATCTTCTTTCAAACGCCTCCCCCTGCCAGGGATCTAACCTAAAGTAGAGGTAAATTTACCATATGACCATAGAATTAATTTCATACATGGGCTTCTTTTCCCTCAAAGTCAATAATGGTGATAAAAATAATAATCTATTTAGAGTCAGCGCCTTAAACATTTTAATCCCCTTAAACATACTCCACACTCTCTACACAAAAATATTGTACAGGGAAAAAAGAACCAGATGTCCTGACCTGACCTGCTGGTTGGCCTCAACCACATGGCAATGGGTGGAAAAGCTTAATACTCAGTGTCACAAAACTTGCTTTATAGATTCGTAATGTGTAAACCATTTTAAATCTAAAATACAAAGGAAGCAAGCCCCTATGCATTCCCATATGGATATATAATTAGGAAAGGAAATGCAAAGTGTCACTCTTGACACTTGTCTCTACTATTAACTATTACAATGGAAATGACCACAACAATCTGCCCGCAGTCACATAAATTTCCTTAGAAGTGAACAGAGAGGAGCCCTTTTAGTTCTTTGATGAAGGTTCCCACTCACAACTTAGCATGAGCTCAGTGAATATTTGGATTGATGTATGTTAGTTTTCCACTCGACCATAAAAATGGATTTTGCAACTTACTGAATCAAGCTTTCAGATGGCCTTTCGCCTCTGAGATTCGTCACCTAACTGCGTGCCTAGATAGCAGGATGCATCAATAGTGCCAGTGGAGATCTGCCCCCCCCCCGGCCCCCCCCCCAGAATCTGTTCTCCTTCACCGGGAGGGACAGCCTTGGTGCTCAAACACTTTTACAGCTGTTGCAATACTGATGGGAACTTCATGTGTGTTACCGGCGCAAGTGCTGTCAGGAAGAAACCAAATGTCAAACGGAGGTATGTAGAAGTCACCATAAATATGTCTCTGAATGTTTACCATCTGGAACCGTAGATTTAGATTTTGACAAGCAACTGGGATTGCCCCGTGGGCACTGTCTTCTAAGCAGAGCCTCTTAGCTGTGCTAAGTAACTTCATCGTACTTTAGCCTTGTTGGGGGGATGGACACACCACTTTGCCTTCTCAAGGTGTGAATTTATTATTTCTCAACATTCCCTTTTTTGCTTCCATCCCGCCTAATCCTGCCTGCAATGGGCTTTTGGGGGAGGGGGTTTCTTCCATATTGTCAAAGTCCTGGGCAGGCAGCCTGGTGGTCAGTCTGCGACATTAGCGACATATGCTTGTGGGGCTCCATGGCTAAATGAAACTTGCCTTTGTTAGATGCCATCACACTCATCTCCATCCTGTGAGCAGAAACTTTACTTTCTTCTGAAATACTTCCATGAGAGTGAAAAATGGCATTGGTGGTCAGCACGATACCTGCTACATGCTGTGCGCGTAGTCCTAATCCTAACACAACCCCAGATATCAGTTTGCCTTTCTGTCTTTATTTTTTTAAGCCCCGGTTCCATTGTAAAGCCAAAGTGGAATGACTGGAATTCCAGAAGACTTCAGCTTATGAACTTAGTCCTATTTGGGTTATGTAATATTGGGAACCGGATAATACTCAGTCATCATAGCTGCCTGCTTATTTATGAGGATAATTTCTCACTGAAGGGCTTTGAGACCAGAGAACACTGTGAATAACAACTACACACCATGCTGAAGCGTTGTTTTAATCAGAACTTTTAAAAAAGAAGATGAAATAATATCAACTGCAAAAAAAAAAATGTATAATGCAACCTGAAACATAATTTTACAAGCATCTTTAGGCAGTTGAATGAGTACAGAAATCACAAAGCACTAGCCATAAATCCTGCTGTTCAGCCTATTAAACAGCTCCCATTTCAGAATAGCTTATATACAGTATTATTCATCAGATTTCTCACCTGCGGAGGGTAAGGACAGTGTTGGGTTTCTCTACCAAATGTGAGGGTCCGGTAGACACAAGAACTCTTGAGCACCACAGGTATACGGACATGAACGTAGGAGGGCAAGTCTGTTAGAGTGCAGAAGAAGTAACTCATTGACTCCCCTAGCTCGGCCAAAAATTTTAAAAATGAAAATTTTATTTTTTGATCCCTGTAAAAATAAGGCGTCAGTTTGAAAGGCCTTTTTTTATGCCACACACTAAACGTAGTGTATAAACCCCATTGTTACATTCGGCTCAATTTAATTTTGGTGGGTGCTTTTGGCAGATTGGTCCCATTAATAGCTACTCACACAGATGATGGCAACTCATTTTCTGTTGCTCCGGCACCGGATGACCATTCATTTCCAGTGACTAATTTATAATTAAAGCCTTTTTTTTCAATGTTTGTTTATAACCCAGCCAGAAAATCTATTTCCATTTAATTAACACTTCAGATAGCCTGTTTGAAACCTATAAATGTCGTGACTTTAATGATCCATCACAGAGATGCTACTTTAGTTTTCAATGACTTGTAAAACTTTCACAAACAGATCTGCAAATGAATTCCCTCCATCTGCTTCCCTGCAGCTGCAAGAGGGATAAACTCCGTTTAAAGAGCATTTTCCTACTTCCTCCTTTTCTGCTTTTCTTCCAGCTCTGAGCATTTCTGTTTTAAAGCCGATCTATCAGCTGCTCAGAGGGCAGCCTCTTCTCTCAAGGAGTTTTCAGTCGCCAAATTGTGTTAAAAACACTTGGGTCCGTCATAAATCAGACATAATGCACGTTTTAAAAATCGGGCAAGGAAGCATTTCCACCTCTGCCGGCAACTCAGTAATAGACTCTTACGGGGAGCTTTATAAAGTGAGGCGTAAAATGCAACAGTTCCAAAGTGAATTTTAATTCTGAAAGCTAAAATAAATGCTCTCTCGGCCTGACGCGTCCTTTATGAACAATCCGTAGCTCCCGCTTCGGGTAGGTAAGGAGGGCATTAGAGAGTACGAATGCCACTCCAGAAGGCGTTTTCTCAGCTACACCTTCAAGAGCAAGGCATGGGGAGTGTTCGCTCTATAAAGACAGCCAAGCACCCAGCTCCTCACTGTTATCTGTCCACCGTACAATAGCAGCATTGATAGGAGAGCAACAACTGGCTTTGACAAGTGTGCTGTGCTAGCATTCCATTCAAAACTATGTTCAGAGAGAGAGGGAGAGAGAGAGAGAGAGAGGGAGGGAGGGGGGGAGGGAGGGAGAGAAGCATTCAATGTCTTTTACTTTACCTGAAAAAACTGCCTTTCTTGTGGCTGCAGCAAATGAATTCCTCCTCTGCTTCCAAAGGCAAAGTAGCTCTCTTGCCCGCAACTCTCACTTGGAGAAGACCACACAGCTCCAGCAAGACAGCCTCCCTGCTCCTAATCCCCACTCGAATGTGATGACACACACTAACCCCAACCATCTGGTGAAACACGTCCTCAAGCACTCAGCACGGTGGTGTGTCAAGACGGGCTGCCCAATCCAATTGCTGGGGCTGGGTGTCTCTCACCGACTGGAGGCTGAGGGCAGGACTGAAACTGGAGGTCTGAGAACTCCCAGTCAAGTAACCTGAGATTTCAGAGAGAAAGGACGGCTATAAAGAGGGGAGGAGTGGGAGGTGCTAAAGAGAAGGTGGAGGGAATGAATTATTCTGGTGGCCAGTTGTGCGTTACTTTTCACAACTCCTTGTGCTCCCCCGGGGACGACTGGGACCCTCCCGGGGATGCACTGAAACACTAAAAATCTTTTCCTGGCCAACCTAGTGAGGGCAATCTTCTCAGTGAGGCACCCTCCCCGCACGCACCACCACCACCCCCAGGAGAGAAAAGATTCATCCTGCCATACTGATAAAGTGTTAATGTAGGAGCAGTTTGCACGGAAATGTGACATCTGCATTTTGAGATCTAAACTCCTACCTTCCTTTGATTAGATCATGGCTGCCTCCAACATTCCAGGGAGAAAAGGGGTGGGGGCACAGGGCTAAGAGCAGAAACTTGTCTATTCCCACGTACGGCTCTTCACCGTTTGCCACGGGCTGAACTTCAGACATAGTCCACGAAAATCATTTTAGTTTCTACTCATGTAAAATAGCACGCACCCCCATAGATGAAGGTGGCTTTTTTAATCACTTGCTGCTTTCACAGACATCTCTTTGTAAAAGCACTTGGTACTAGAGGGCTGCACTCTGTCATTGATTATTTTTATTGGCTTCTAGTTAATTGCACTTATAATGTCCATATAGCTCAAGCAGCTCATTAACAATTTTGCTTTGAAATGTTTTCAATTTTTGGTCATTTCAATGTCTCTTTCTTATGTGCATTTCTTTCTTACTTTCTTTTCTTTTTTCTCTTTCTTTTTTCTTTCCTTTTTTTTTTTTTTTGAGTTCTCTGAACTGTTTTTACAGACCTAATTACTTTGATAGCAGTCTGAACCAGAAAATGGCTATACTTGTTACAGTGCTTTAAGGACATATCTGGCAATAAATTAATTGCTACAAATCTCACCATTTAAAATATGCCATCAGACTTCTAAGGAATTTTGATAATCTGAAAAGGAAAATAGGAGTTTGAAATATTAGCAACTCCCTGACAGTGTCTGTGGGGAGCCAACATTTTAAATATTGCACCTTTTGAATTTCTTTGAACAGGGATGGGTGTGCTGGCATAAAAACCAGACAAAAAACCAAACCAAAACAAAACAACAAACTTTACACTTACCCAAAGCATTAAAATCTAGACTACAACTGGCTATCTCGCGTTTGGAATGCCAGCATCGCAAAGAGAATTATTTCAATAGCTAGCAAAATTGACTTGACTGGCTTGTTTTTTTCCAGGAGTTTTTAATGTGATATTATATTAAGATACTTAAAAATTGCTCTTGGTGGAATGTTTTGAAGTACAGAATTAAGAACTACAATTTTCAGATTGTGATTTTTTTTTTTTTTTCTGTAACTGGGCTGTAGAAAAGATGAGGGGAAAAAAAAGAATTAGAGGTCGGAGTTCTGATTCATTTGCTTAATTTCTTCCCAGAAGTGATTATGAGGTGTGTGTTTCACAATATATACTATATGTACTAAACCACTACTCCTAATCAGCTAAATCCAGATACATAATCAACACAGAAGCCTTCAACAATGGCAAGTGGCACCACAGGGCTAAGACTTCCCTTGGGCACCATAAAAATTTTAACAGTGGCAATTATTGCGAGGCAATTTTTTTCATTAAAAAATTTTTTTTTTCTTTTGGTTAATCCACCCAGACTCATGTCTGAAAATCTGGATTACCTCCACTGCATAGATTTTGAAGGCCCTGGAGACATTATTAAGGTAGTTTGCATTCTCTTAAACTGTAATTGAGTTACAAAAGTAAAACCTAAGAAACTATAAAGGTGTTGAATCACGTTTTATCAACCCTGTGCTTGTAACACACCTTCTGTAAGACATTCCCAAGTGATCCGGGCTCTGACCCACATTATTGTTGAAAGTGCCTTTTAACACAAACATTTTTATTCTGTTCTTGATTGTAAATCTTTTCATTAATTCCCAGCTACTATTTCCCTTTTATCGATAACTTCAGCTATTTATACTACTTAAAACTTGCTGCCAAATAAGAAAATACAAGTTGAGCCATCACTCCTGCTCATTTGCTATGAACCTAATTCTTGCTCTGTGCAGAGTCCATAAACATCACCTTTCAAAAGTATCATAACATGAGTCTACAAGGACACATTTTTCTTTGGTTGATGCTCTGAAATGCTTTTGTTAAAGAAAATCAACTCAAACAAAAACCTGAAGCCGGTGCTGTAGGATAAGGTCCCAGCTTCCCTCTCCCTCTAGCCCGGTTCAGTGCTCAGCAGAGCGTCAGTTTAGAAGTTAAGAATTTTCCATTACCTCTCTTCCTTTCTCCTTGCCATCTGCAAACAGTTTATTTTTTAAGGGGAAAAAAAAAGTGAAATTGATTCTGTTTTGAAAGATCTAAACCTAAAATACAGCACGTTCTGGAAGATGACAGTCAGCATTTGAATGTGATGTTGATCAGGGTGAGGTTGTGTGCAGGGCGATTGGCTTCCTCGTAAGAATTAAGTCAGGACACTCCTAAAATGAGAGATTAATTGTAGGTAACGGTGATATTGAAAAATAGCCCCTCCTATTCTGTTCCCACAGTTAAAATGTCCCTTTACTTATTAGCTCCAATTAGTTTCCATGGTAACCGACCAGCCCTTGTAAACCCGCACTCGGAGCTCCACTCATCTTTGTCTAGACTGAGCTCGCCACCCTTCTTCCTCCACAGATGGCAGTTTAGCTGGGTCTATATCTATATTCATATCTCTCATGCACACATCACTGGCACACGGGTGCCCACATCACTTTATGACCAGTACAGTGGTGGCCACAGGAGGATGGAAATGGCATTTGGTCCCCGAGCTACAACGTGTGCATCCACCGCCACACTAATTTTTCCCCCTCTTGGTTATTGTTTCTTCCAGCCTTGTTCTATTATCAGCTGTTTGCTGCTTGTAATTTCTTTTCAGGGAAGCCAATACAGTATAATAAAAACCTCATTAAACAGAAACACCTATCAGCCTCAGAGAAAGGCCTAAACTACCCCTTTTTGTCTAAAGAATCATTAAAGTGAAAAAGAAAAACCACTTGTTTGTCATGCTTGAAGAAAAGAAAACAAAGCCAACAGAAAGGTTTACCAAGCCAGGGGGCTAATACGAAGATTTAGTGCACTTAAGACACCACGGTGCTTTTCCCCCTGGTGCTGCCAGTTGGCCAAGAATCCCAACAGAAGCATAGTAAACAAATCATCAGTGGGGCTGAGAGGGCCGGCGGCTCCAGTCACTTGGCGGGAAGAAAGGTAACTGGGTCCTGAGGCATCCTGGCTGTCACAGGCTGCCCTGTGCCACGGGGCTGGGAGCAAGCGATGCTGTTGGAGTCCCCAGAGGTTAGTGTGACCACAGAGGAATCTGATGGGGGGTGGGGGGAGAGCTATCAGCAAACACTTGGAATTGCGAGAACGCGGAAAGTCATAAGCTCACGTACTTTGTGCTGATTTTACTTCTTTGGACATAACTTGAATTCTGTATTGTGCTGAGGTAAACCATAAGAATTGGGAAGCCTCCAGCTGAGGAGCCAATCTTCTGTGACGGCCAGGTATAATCTCTGTAAGAGAAAGTCAAAAGGGTAGCTACCGTTGGATCTCTTTTTTTTCCTATTACCTCTGCTAACCATCATCTTCGCAGCACCTATTTTGGCATACAAATAATGACTGAAAGAATAAGATTCCCCGATGCTGGTGAAATGTTTTATTCTTAAAATGGTTTCTGAAGTTGGCTTTGAGGTCATCTGTAAGTATCAGAAAAGAAAAAGTTCTGATCACCAATGCTTAATCTGATGGGATGTGTGAATCTGTGAAGCCCCCTTTCTTTGGCGGTAACACTGTCTTGGGTTTTTTCCTTTGAAGCAAATGACAAATGTCGTCTAAAGGCCCACCGTGCTAGCAATATGTGTGTGACAAGTATCCCATTACTATTCATATCATATGAAGTGTCTGTAGATGCAGAATAAATCTTATAATTTGGGACATCCTGCACTCAGGGCTACCCAGCTTCAGACGGTGACTTATTCTTCTTCAACTATACTTCACTGCCTTTAGTCACATTGAACCAAATCACTCTCAGAAAGAGAGAAGACACGGTTGCTTGTTAAATGAAGTCACGTGCTACACAACAGGCATCCAAGTTGCTCATGTTTTCAATGACTGCACGGCTATATCGGAGGTGGCACTGGAGCCAGTGGTAGCTTTCATGCCAGACAAATGGTTTCATCACTGAGGGGAAGTTCTCTCCCGGAAGCGCAAGCCTGCCTGTGCCGCAAAGGGATATGTAGCTACCCTGCAAATCATTTGGGGAGGCTGAAATGAGGCGCTAAACCATTTAGGACAAAACAGTAACCCTCAAATGGGATAATTTGGTGAAATGGAGTGGATTCAATGATAAATGCAGAAAGGATGCAAAACATTTTTACAAATCTCTTTTAAACCCATCTTGTAGAAATTGGTACTTGAGCATTGGGTATTAGTCCTCATTTGAACAGATAAATAAGGTTAGGAGACATAATATTAGGAAGTATGGGTATCCAGTGAGAAGAAAATGTGACTTTCAGCAATAAAAATCTGGAAGAAAGGGTGGAGGGTGTTTCAGATGGAGTTTATCCTAAACCCAATGAGTCAAATAATGATCTTTCATTCGTAATATGAACATTCCTGAGTTAAGGTATGTAGCAGGGAAAAAAGGTAGAAAACTGGAAGCAGGGACAGACATGAGAAAAGTGAAGCTCAGGGAGGATCAGGCTAATGTCCAAGTCATTGGTGGACAGGGAATGAACCCCAAGATTCAATCTATCAGATCGTGTATTTTTCTCTCAATAGCAACATGCACTTTTATTAGGAACAAAATTAAGAACGGCAAAGATTCTCTTAAACTGGAGTGATTATGTTTCATTGGTGTTGCATTACAGAATTTGACAAGTTGCTGTGAGTTCAGAAGCATAAAATATCTTT